ACACGCGGCCTGGAGAGGCTCTCGCTCAGCGTTCTCACCAAGCCCGATGCAACCGGAGTTGACGACCTTCGCTATCCTCATGGCCGTGCACCTGCTCCCGCGGGTGCGCAGACCGATCCCCATCCCCGACCGCTCGAGCCGCCCACAGCGGCGCGGCTGGCAGCCTCTGTGAGCTATCGTGCGAGCCTGCCGCCGGGGAGGGGATCGAGGCCGTGGCCGCGTGCGAGTCGCTGAGGCTGAGGGACCTCGTGATCGTCGGCACGAGCAGCTGACGGCCGCCGCCGCGAGGGCAGCGCGTATCTCTTTCACCCCGCCGGCCATCTCCACAGCCTCATGTCCTGGGGGCTTCTCGGGAACCAAGTGAGAGAACGAGCGGTGCCGTGAACGCGTGAATAAGGAACGGCCGCTGGGAACGAACTTCTCCATTAGCTCTTATGGCGCGTTCACCAGTTCGTTCTCTTCTCCGCCGCTTTCCCGTTCACGTTCTCCAAGTGGTTCCCGAGAAGCCCCCCTGCCGCCTCGTGTGCTAAGAGGCTCGGGGGCCTGGCGGGACCGCTACCTCCCCGCCAGTGGCCCGGTTTCCGGCGTGTGCGGTGCTACGCCTGGCACCGTGCCTGGAAGGGATGTCTGTCGAGCTGCCGTCGTCGCAGTACGTCCTGGCGTACACCACGAACAGGTGCGCCATGCCGAGGCTGATGCTGGACGTGGCCGGCTTCCACGGGCTGCACGCCGCGCTGGTCATCCGCAACCAGGAGGCGCTCGGGCGGCTCAGGTGTGTGGAGGTCGAGTTCTGCGCTCCCCGGGTGGCCCGCACCGACGTGTCCGTGTTGACGCTGGCGGCCACGCGTGGCCTTGAGCTGCTCTACCTGGGCTGCCCCGGCCTGACCGTCCATCACATGGACAGCCTTTACGTCGCACGGCACCCCGTCCCGCCCGTCGCTCAAGGACATCCACGCAGAGCTCTCTTCCAAGTCAACAACATCGTATCGATATCGGGTCATGACGCCCTTCAGGGTGCGAAGCGGAGTGGACTGCCGAGGTGCGCGCGCGCGCGCGCGCGCAACAGTTGCGGGCCGGGC